ATGGATCGCCCATGGGACCCATGTGGCTCTGGTCCGAATCAACTTTTGGTTATCACTTGCTTATCAAAGTGCTGTGCTTTGTGTGCAAAATCCATACCAAACATGTATTATATATATATACAGTGTATGTATGCACACGTATATGTTCAATGTTCTATGAGTGCACCTGGTTGGTAAACAAAAACAGCCGGCGGGTGTGGAAGGTGTAGTGCAAGTCTCGGAAGTGTTCTTTGGTAATAATATGGTTCAATGTTTGTCCCTTCTCTGAACATGTCGGTGATCGAACATGATGACTCCTGATTTGCTGCCGCTGCAATGATCTGAGTTTGTTTGAAAGCATGTATCCCATCCCATCCGTTGCTTAATCATCTCCAGTTTTTCTGTATTAACATGGCCATCTATAGATGGGGAGCAAATCCAGCATTTGCAGAAACTCCCGAAAAGTTACGTAAAGGTATGTATTCTCTCCCCAGTATGGTTGGTTTTTATTTGCAGCTTTGATGCCCCGCCCACAGGCCCTGGTCGAAAGCAGAGTTTTGCTCATCTCCACCGAGCAGTTCTTTCATGCGGGGCGGTCAGGGATCGGGTCACAATAAACATTGATCGACCTTGGGTGGTTGGGTACTACTCTCTGGTGTTTTAACATAGCGATTGAAAATCACCATTCTCAACTGGTAAATCACGATGTTTGCCATCTATAAACGGGCTAATGTTCCATAGATATGTTCAATAGCCAGAGGGTATAATGTTTGTTGCTGGTGCGTATGCATGTACATTTTGTGTACGTGTGTATGAGCCACCGCAACAACTCCGGCAATCAGAAACATGTAATGCCAACACCGGATTAATAACCCCCCCCCCTAGAAGGTAGGGGGGTACCTTCTGGCGAGTTTTCTTGACTACCCGTAAATAAACGGCCCTGAACCATAAAATTCTGAACCATAAAACTTTGGATATGGCTTACGTCAATTAGATCTTAATAGAATTCCATTGGATTTGTTAAAATTTCATGGATCAGAAAGTGGTTGATTAATCAGGGGCAAACCATGGTTATTATTAATGGGGGACATGGGCTCATGGGGGGTACCCTTCGGGAGCTATCCAAACTGATGTTTTTTTATAAAGATTTTAATTAGAAATCGATCATTTGGGGAATAGTTGTTTTTTGAAATTTTCAATGATCAACTTAAACCTGAAGTATAACAATGATGATTAAAAAAAAGGTAAAAAACAATTGGAAATAAATAGAATTGGAAATAAAAAATGTTGGATAGAAAAATGGATTTCAGCACTGGTGGTTGATTAATCGGGGGTAGGCCCACCGGTTTATTAATCTGGGGGGACCACCTGTTTTTAAATTACATTTTTTTTTGGGGCAATGGTGGTTGATTAATCGGGAGGGGATTATTAATCCTCACTTGACATTAAGGGACGGACATTGGTTTTCAGAAATTGTGCAAGTAACTGAGGCAAGATAGGACCTTCCTAAAGAGCGATACCCCCTTTGAAGGTTATGTCATACCTGTGTACATATATCATTGTCCTTCATGTGATGCCCGCTGAATTTATATAAGATATATCATTTTCGTACAAACATGTGCCAAGCGATTGGACCTTCCCAAATTTGTTGATGCCCTTTTCGTGAACTTGAGTTTCCGGGATTGATCATATATAATCATATATACGTATATATATATGATATATATATATATATACATGATATATGTACATGTTATATATATATGCATATAGGAACAAATTATTGAATAATATGTCACGTGTTTTTTTTGGAAGAGTATCTAAGAATGGCTATGATTATGGGAATGGCGATCTGTAAATGGGGTAGCGATGGGCCAACGCATGCTGGTCATTTTGTTTTTTCTGTTTAATGGCAAACACATGCAATCACGACATTTCACCTCATGTTTTCGCATTCCGGAGTAGCGTAATCTACAGATGGGTATAGTTTATTTTTTGGACCTTGAAAATCAAATGGTGACGACGGTGACGACCAACAACCTGATCCACCACCATTGTAGTTTTGAAGTGAAGTCGTGTTGTTTTGTTCGCCCCTCATTGCATCAAAATTGTCTTTTTGGTTGGATGCAATGGACTCTGTATCCGCTTTCATCCGCTTTGCAGCGGTGTGCCATCCTTGTTGGGCATGGTTTCTATTTGTACATTTGGGGATTTCCATAAATGGGATGGATGATTTGGGGGTATCCCGATTCTAGAACACCTCCAGGAACGTAGGTCAATCTTTGGACGAAAATTGCAGAAGTGACAGTTGTTTTTTGTTTCCCCCTGCCACAATTTTTCCATTTCGCATTTCGACGCCCCCCTTCCATTTTATTCTTAAGACAAGACTGGAGGTGTGTAAGGACTACGCCAATGTCATGGCCAACACCGTGGTCTACGCGCGCTGCTTTGTTCAGGAGATGAATAAGAACACCAACCTCTCCAAGGAAGCTGCTCGGCCCGGTGAGACATGTGGCTCCAGTGGCTCCAGGCTTTGGAAATGTTTGGAATTTGGTTACCACCGAGGTCACCGACTTGCCACTGGCGCCTTTGGGTAACTCCAAACCACTGAATCCCAGCATGAGCAGCCGAAGAGTGCACCCGGCCACGCAATGATGGCAGTGAAGTCTGCTGTGTTGAACGCTGGATTCCAAGTCATTTTGGGAAGTGTTCTAATTACTAGATGTTATTAGTAATTTCTCTAAGAAGGAGTTTATCATAGTTTATCAACAGATAACTTTTTATAGTAGTATCCCGCCTGTCGTTTCTCTGTTTGTTCGAACAAGAAGTCCAGAAAGAAGAGACGTAAGAAACGCAGAGAGATTGGGAGACATCTCCCAAAGCTGAATGGAGTCCTCGAAGAGGATCTCAAGAAAATGGGAGGAGGTGGGCATCCAGTCTTGCTGGCCAAATTCTATGAGAAAGTCATGATGTCATGGGATTTGACAGGACTTTATTGATAACTTAGATCTAGATGAAGGGATTGGCCCGGACCGTCCTGAAAATAAAACGGATCACTATGGCCTGACCCTATCAACCAAGATGTCCTGCAGGGTATCCCAAGGGCACCGACCCTGAAAAACTGGTCAAAAGAGGACAGCCAGCACGTGCGCACGAAGCGCGCACTTTTTTAAAGAGGCCTCCTTCTCACTACTCACCTTTCCAAAGCCTACTTGGGAAGCCTACCGAGCTGCAAAACAGTTGGCTTAGTGAGATTTGGGAATGGTCCAAAATGATGTATTTCGGTAAAAAAAATAATGACCTCACGTCGCGACCTCACTGGAATCATGGTAATTTGATTGGGCGAATCCCAAGATAGCCGAACTGTTCAGGTTGGTGAATATTGCTATCATTTGCACTTATGTATAGCACCCGCAAAAAAGAACAATAATTTTATTTTATATCCAATTATATAGATAGAGGCAGAGTACTGAGTACTGTTCTATGTGTTTTTTTGGGTTACGGTTACGGTATAAATAACCTGAGGAGGACCATGTATTTTTCTGAGCCTCAACCATAGAACAGCACAATCTTGGATGGAATGTCAACTCAACCTCCCAGGGCAAACCTTGGTTGGGTAGTTTCATTATGTTTGTTCTTACAAAGGGGGACACTTTTTCACTAGATCACTAGAGTATCCCTTAAATGCTCCATGATCAAGCAGCCATGATCAATCAGCCCTGATCAATCAGATATCATCAACTAGCCATGGTTAATCAGCCATTTTTTCATCAGTCATGACTATATATTGTTCTTGGGAGGTAGATGTTAAGTAGGCTCCCAGTTAGTTTGACTCCTTGGCCCAGTTGGGATGCTCCGTCATGATGCGGAAAAGGGTGCGGTAGCGGGGCAACGATGAGATAGCTTTGTCCGGATTTAAGTGCAGAATCTTCTGCCTGGAATACCCAAGCGACATGTCACCCCCAAAAATGCTACTGTCTAAAGTATAGTCTTGCAATTGTTTGATGGTAGTTTAAGGATGTTCCAAGGCTCAACGTCGTTTCTTTCCTCAAATGGACTTTTAGACATGACACACCAAATCGGTTATGGCAATTTAGGGCCTTGGTACCAGGACCAAGGACACAAGGACCTGTGGCAATCTGTGGCAGCCAAGTCCCAGCAAGTGGGATGGGTCAATCAGCACTTCAGCCATGTACAAGTTGACACAATGCCATGGCAGTTTTTTTGGGGGGCGCGTAGCTTTCAAAGAATCATTTTTGTTGAAATATGTTGATTGGTTAACTCATGTTAATTCCCGATGATGATGTTCAATTGCCAGTTTTGGGATCTTGAGGGTGTAACAGTGGTAATATTATCAGCCTGGAACGGTTGAAAACCAACTCACAACTATGTTTGGTGCAGCTGTAAGAGCTTGTTGTTCCGATTGTTGTTGGTGTCATCTTTTAGTCTCACCATCCTGGACTGGATGATTCTCCCGTCTATCTTACTGGTGCTTAGCAGGGAATGAGGGAATGATCCATAATCACCAGTAATAATCATCCCATTCCTCCCCTACTAAGCACCAGTAAGCTATAAATGGGTCGGTGTCACCCCAGTTACTTTCTGGCCATGCCACGCCACGCAATTCGTCCTGGGATGATCCGACGAAGGTACTGACAGTCGTGGTTGCTGAATTTAAATTGGCGAGTGATGAGCCGTAAAACTATGTACCCTCTGGTAATTTAACATAGCTATGGAAAATCACCATTTTCAATGGGAAAATCCACTATAAATGACCATTTTCAATAGATATGTTAAATTACCAGAGGGTAAACCTAATGAAGCCAACCAATGAATGACTTCGAAGCATCAAACAAGATTCACACTTGAAAGTGGTTGTTGGTAGCTAAGCCCTCAACAAACCCTAAGTACCCCCCCAAAAAAAGGTCAAATCTTGAAGCGACAGTTTCTCACTCGATTTCTCATTGGGATTTCACTATTCTATCCCTTTTTTTTGCAGAAAGGACTGTTGTGGCCGCCCAAATCTCACACTTAATATGTATAAAGAATACTTCTTGTGAGATTTGGGTGTCACAACATTCCCTTCCGATAACTTGTGTTCTTGTGAGATTTGGGTGTCACAACATTCCCTTCCGATAACTTGTGTGTTGATATCTGTTCAAGCCCCAAGGATTAATCTGGATTAATCTGGGACCAAAAAACAAAAAAAAACAAAAAGAACAATGTTTTCAGGACTACTTGGATCAGGGCTATCTTTAGACTAGTCTCCAAAACATTGTTTTTTTTTTTGTTTTTTTTTGTTTTTTGGTCCCAGATTAATCCAGATTAATCCAAGCTAATCTACGATCATCAGATCTATTTAACATTTAAGTACTAACATGTGGTTGGCTAATTTTCTATATTCCCTGCTCATCTGCCTTTATTGGCTTTTAGCGTCGCTCTCTCTGTGTCTGGACTCCTGAAGCTATGGCGGACATCTTCAACAAGGCGTGTCAAATCTCTACCACGCTGCAATGTTCATCCTTGGCATCTGTTATGTCTGTGACAACCGGGCCGCAACATGACTTCGACGTCATCCCCAAGAAGAAGTTGCAAGGCACCTCCAAGATCAAGGCTGCTATCGAGATTCTGAAGTTTACTCCAGTCAATGGTCTGGAATTGGATGCCATGGTTGCCATCATCGCCCAGAAAAAATATGAGCAACTTCCTGGTCCTCTTGCCCTCAAGAATGAAATCCCCATACCCTTCACTATGCAAATGGTCTTTCGCAAGATCAATGCTCGGGAATTCCAAGTTCTTCGACATTTCAACTTTGAACAAAAATTAGATTCTCGTTTGCTGATGTCTGCTGTGTCTGGCGAGCTTTACCTCCTCGACTATGGCAAGAATTTCAGAAGTGGAGCATTGGGATTTCAATTCCTCTTGGAAAAGCTCGGTGACTTTGCCATTCTGGCCTTTGAGTTTGTGCCCAAGAAGACCGGGAAACCACCCAAAGCAAAGACTGCATTAGAACTAGGTTTTGACCACATCAAAAAGAATGGCCCTAGAAGCAACATGGGAAATAGACAAACTGAATGGGCAGAAATTGAAATTCACAGAGAAGAAAGCCCAATTTTTGGATGGACTGCTGGACTCGTGAAGGAAAGTCTCCGCGGCTACGCCAATTCCAACATCTTTGTCGAGCCCACCTACAACTACTTCTTGACTATGTATGACCTCAGTAGTTGGTTTCTAGAAGACGTAGTTTTCCCACTACTCCCAGACATGAAAACCAAGACTTTCGTCATGCTTGGAAAGGCTGGAGCAGGAAAAACTCCTGCTGCTCAAGCCATTGCAATGGCATTCGCTGAGTATTGGATCTTGCGGGCTAATCAGGAGCATGAACTTCGTCCTTGCTTTCGTCTTTCCAACAGCCTCGAAAACCTACGTGGTGAACCTGGACTTCGAGAAAGGCCCGACATTCTGGATGACTCCGATATGAGCAACATTCCACTTCCGAAAATCAAGGCCTTCTTGGACAGCTCCCTGTCTGAAACCTTCACAGTTGAGAGGTGGACCACTACCAAATTTGTTCTCAACCAACTTCGCATCATCTGTGACAACAGGGTACATGCCGAAGCTGAGGAAGGCATCAAGATTGGCCAGGACACAATTCCCTTCCATGTCTTTGTTGACTACATCAAGCCAGCTTTCCATGAAAAGGCACAGAAGGAAGATATCCAAGCTTGTCTGAAGAGAGCTCATTTCGTCGTCAACATGAACGAGGCCGTCTACGTTCGCCCAGCGGGAGCTGGGGAATCTCCAATTCGCCTCGTGCGCTACCCGGAGACTCAAAACAGGTCTGTGATCCGGGATTTCATTGCTGAGTCTGGAAAGCCAATCATTGCCAAGATGTTGGAGGGTTGTGCTGAGCCTCCAGCAGATTGGTTGACAAAGCGCCAGTGGTGCCACGACCTCTTGACGCACATGATTGAAAGCAACAACCCTGAAATCCCACGCATCCAGGTCATTCGTCGGCAATCTCCTTTTGGAGGACCTCTCGTCACAGAAGAAGTGAAGCCTGTTCTTCCCAGCTCTGGCCGGACTTGTGTTCTTCTCTCTGTTGAAAATCATGCAGATGATGGTCAAAAAGCTCAAGCAAATCATGCAGGTGATGGTCAAGAAGCTCCAGAACTTCCAAGCGGTGCCCAGCTTGTCTCTCTTGCGTCTGCTGTTCGTGTCAAAGAAGAACCGAAATCACCAGACCGCTCTACATTTCGTGCTTTGAAAAAGCAGCGCACTGTCATTGAACTGGATACCCCTTCTCCAGCAAAACCACGTCCCGCTACCGTTCTTGATGACAATGGCTTCCCTCCACCTGGTCATGGCGAAGATATAGAGGAAGATCTTCCTGACCTAGAAGTTGATGGTGAACCTCTGTATGAAGCTTTCCCAGATCCACATCTTGATGACGATGTCGTAGAAGAGGCGCTCCCCGACCCTGAGTGAGCTGGCCTAGTGAATGAAAACATGATTGTAGATTTTGTCCTCTGAAGACATGGTTGTAAGTTTTGATCTTGAGCTTGTAGCATATGTCAGCAACCGCCACTTGAGGCAATACAACATCTGAATGGTCCCGAAGCAAAAAAAAATATGCTCGAGCTGCTAGCTTTGCAAACCACCCTTCTTTCATTCTTTGTCTGTTGTGATATTGCTTCTGCATGATCTCAGCTCGCACTGCATTTACTGTATTCTTGCAATGCTACAATTGAGTCATTACCGGCTTTCTTCAGAACCATGTCAGACATTTGTTCAGTCTTGCACTGTAGGTTGCTCATTGTATCTGTTTGCTGTTTTCCAGCTGTCATAACTATTTCGTGTCTTCATACTAGCGCTATTTCAAGCTTCCCGAAACACATGTTTGCAGTTCAGTTCTTGTCACTAAGTCTCTTGCTTGCAGCTTTGTGCCATTTCAGCATCAATCCTGGCCACCTTTGTCATCACAATGGGGAGAGAGACATCAAAGAGGGCATCAACACTTCGAGTCTACAAATCCAACTTGAAGACATGTCCTTGCTGCCAGAAGCGTCTTTACCTCAAGAAGAACAAGAACTGCAGCCAGACCGCTATGGCCACTCTCTTTAGCAGCGAAAAAGTATCACAAATTGCCAGTCAAAGTAAGTTCTGTGCCAAGAAGACATGCCGCCGAGAGGTGAGACACAATTTTGTATGGCTGGGAGGTCAGAAGATCAACTGCATGTCGTTCAAGGACATGGTTGCTTCTGGCTTGTACTTCGTTTCCACCAAGACCGCCTTTGCCATTCCCTATCTTGAGCTGTGCTACTATCGTCTGCTGCGAGCGAAAACATCTCCTGGTCAAGAGGCTGCTGTGCGCCTGATCGTGCATGGTAGTGCAGAGGGAATGTTTTGGCAACAGCATTCATTTCGTGACCATCTCCTTCATGCTCTAGAAGGGTATGCCATAGCTCGTCGCACTCCAAATCAAGTCGTGCCTTTCAATGTCGATTTTCCAGCCATGGAAGTTGTGAAGATCAAGAGCCCTTTGCTGCTTTTCCCTCCAGCGGCAACTGTCACAGCAGTGGCCTTTGATGGACATTTTGGTGTACATCGTATGCTACATTCCTCTGAACCGCCTCGCACAGTTCCAAAAAAAGGGCGTCCCATGAAGCAGATTCCTGAACATGAACGTTCTTGCCATTGTAAAACAAAAGATGCTATGCGCCAAGTTCTTCCTGATCGTACAGCAGGTTGGCAATTTGCTCTAGACCCCCAGACAGGCAAAGTTCTGGGCGCTTATGAGCATACCGTCAATGAAAGGAATGAGGACAAAGCCGCCTTACTCCAGCACGTACTCAGCATGCCGAATGTCCACGCCGATCTTCTTGTTCATGACGATGCTTGTCACTTCGAAAAATTCGTTGCGACTTATGATTCCAATGCATTTGACAACATCGAGTTCTTTTTGGTGGATACATTCCACATGAAGAACCACAAATGCCACAAAAATTCCAGAACACGGAAGGAGAAGAAGCGTTTGAAGAATGTACGCACCAGCATTTGCGAAGCATTCAACGCCTGGCTTCGCCCCATGAACTTTTTCCTCAACAGCCTTCGTCCTCATAGTCACAAGTTCTGGGTCCAGGAGGCGATCACGTTCTACAATGCCAACTTGCCATCTTTGCCACCAATTCTCATGAGACGTTCAACTACTGCTACCCGGAACAGACGCAAGAAGTAGCTTTCACGGCTGGAAGACTCTGATCATACGTGGGGAGGCTGAAGACCTGTGTCTGTAGATAGATGCTGCCGCGCAGTTTTGTCTGCTTGTCCTTTAAAAAAAAATCTCACAGAACTGCTTGTGTTCTTTTCATTTTGTCTTCCCTTTTCATTGAGTTGCTTTCTGTTTGTTTGCTTGTCCTTACAGAAAATCTCATAGAACTGCTTGTGTTCTTTTCATTTTGTCTTCCCTTTTCATTGAGTTGCTTTCTGTGATGCATGGTTTCAACTTCTTAGGTTGCTGACTTGCCACTTCCCATTTCTGTTTGACAAAGCTGATGAATCCAAATGAAAAGTCCAGATTCTTCATAGCATGTCCTTACCACTATTTGTTGCAGTTATTCACATGGTCCCGCAGCGTTTCTGAGCATACAGCATCATTCCGGTAGCCATCCCCTTGTAGCTATGGATGTGCGCGGCAAAGCAATTCTCAAAGATGGGCGCAAGATTGTCTTGGAGCTTGAACCAGGTGTTGCCCCACAACCTTCTACCACTCCTCCGCATCCAGATGCTTTAGTCCAAGAGATTGCTGACGGAAAGTTGTTGGTTCATCCTTCCAAAGCCCGAATCACTGTTCGCCGCATCCAAATGCAGATTTGTAACATTCAGCGTGGATTGCGGCTGTTGATTGGGGCAGAAGGACAGTGGAGCAATGAAGCAGATGAAAGGCTCAAGTCATGGTTCTTGCGTGCAGAAAGGAAGAAGAATCGCACCGACACACCTTCGCCTAGTCCTAGTGCCTTGGAAGATGCTTCTTCTTCCAGGCGCCTTGCCTTGGAAGATCCTTCTTCTTCTACACCCCTTGCCTTGGAAAATGTCAAGCCTGAGAATTCTTCTGTGGAGAACCATTCTACCAATGCCTTGGACGATGACAACCCTACAGCCATCATTTGTGAGGATTCCTATGTGGACAACCATGGTGCCAATGTCTTGGACGATGACAAGCCTGCTGTTGAGTCTCCTACCGGTGAGGTTGAAGCTGATGTCTTGGACGATGCCAAGCCTGCTGTTGAGTCTCCTACCGGTGAGGTTGAAGCTGCGGAGGATCACCATAGTTCCAATGGCGCTGATTCAAGCGATGCGTCGTCAACATCTTCCTCTTCGTCAGCGGCTACCAGACTTCGTGCAACGATTCAGCGCTCAGTGTCTGCTCTCCAGGAGATCCATGACATTGTTAGTGACAGTTGCCCAGATTGTGCAGATGCCCTGTTGCAAATCCAAGATTCACTAGCACAGGCCTTGAAATGAAGCTGCACTTGAATGCTCCGTTGTGTATGCTGACTTCGTCTTCCATCGCGCATTGCTCTTGGCATGAAAAAAAATCTGTCTTGCGCTCCGCCGGGCTCCATAACCAACTCTTCAAAATGTGTAGGTTTCCCAGTGAAATAGTTCATGGTTAATTAAAAACTTGACAACAATAGTTAAAAAAGAGGCGGCCACAACAGTCCCCTCCCTTTTTTGAGGGTTACTCATGGGTTACCGAAGAAATCCGACAGTCATATCCCATAGAATCCATGTATGCTATAATATCATATATATATGGTGTGCCATGGATCCCATCAATATACCCCAGTCATGTTAGCATAGAAAAACCAGCACCAGCCGGATCCGTCATGGGTTTTTTCTGTGTTTCACACCGGTCACCAGGCTCAGATTGCCGACACCTTGGCCCTGGAGTCGAAGGACATTCACCTGGCGAAGTCCAGAGATACGTCGGGAACTCGGAACTTTCACCCCGGAGCGACCGTACTTTCCATCATGTTTGCTTCGGAAATGGATCTCCAAATCTACTGGTTCATCAATTTCCCTATTAAATGATATATATATATATATATGTGTGTGTTTATTTATATGTACATGTATGTCATTTACTAATATGTAATATTTATATATGTATAATATATGGATTATATTATATCATATTATATTATATTATTTTTTTTATCACATTATGCTATACATTTATTTGGTTATATGACCATAATTTAGGGATATACCCTGTTTTCAGACACACCCAAATGATGGGAATTGGATTGGGATGATTGGGGGACTCATCCGAAGAAATGGCGAAGAAAGCCTTGATTGGGAAATTTATGGAAAATTGATGTAACTTGCACTTGGGTGATTGTTGGATTCCTGCTGGTGTTTGTTCATGAGATCATGCGACAACCATACAGCGATATTCAATAATAATGGGGAACCATGATCTAAGAGTGTGTGAAATAGTTGGGTATAGGTTGCCACAATGAGATTCCATCAAGTCAGGGTCATTGAGATTGATTAGGCCACATCATGGCTAAATCCCTGTAGCCTTAATTCCCTGTAACATCCCAATGGCCCAATGGCCCATTGACCAACAATCCTTTGGGTCATAGTAGGCAGCTCCCATGAAACCAAGAATCAGTTGCTCAATTTTGGGAATTTGGGCCGTTTTTTTATAGGTTTTACCATGGTTTTACACTGATTTCCTCAGAATCCGTTGGGGAAGGTTGTTATTTTTACGCAACGGTTGCAACGGCTGGGTAGTGTCATGTTTTCCATGATGAGATCGTTTGCGCATGTTGGCACTGATGTTTAATGATGATGAAACATATGGAATTCCATGTCCTTGTTACTGCATGAATTGTTCCTTTGTTTGGCTGAGAAATCGAGAAATCATATAAAATGCAATTCTTGGTGAATTCAAGAAATCACCTTCAAACAGGTGGAAAACAATTTGTCAACCCGTCCAGCAACACTGATGTTCAACCTCAACAAAGGCTGGTCATGATGACAGCTGATGAACAACGACTGTAGTCGCAACATGTCACAATCGTGTCGAGCCAATATGGATTCTATAGGAACTCAGATATAAACGAATGCCTAGTTGGTCCGACGGTTGGTTCTGTCTTTAATGGACCACTTGTGGAAGAAACCGGTGCTTGCGGTGCTTCACCAATTTCAGGGCGGGTCATCGGAGACATGCGGCGAGCTGCGGTAGGATACCAGCCTCGGTGGTAAAGCCTGGCTGCCATAAACGATCCCCAAGTCATCACCAGTGCTACAAATCATGCCCCGAAAGGATCCAAAAGGCAGTTTAAAAAAATGTTTCCCACATGATGTTGCTTTTTGAGCATAGCTGGCTCGGAAAAACGGGACGCCTTGTAGTCACGTTGGCCGCCACTGCTTTGCCATGGAACTTCTCGGGGGTGGTTACAGCCACTGGGCGGCATGTTGTTCAACAAACTCCGCCATGTGTTGAGGTGTCCCATTTTGGCCATTTTGGCCATCCTGCGGTGTTCAATCCATGTTTTTTCGGCTTCTAATGAAGAGATATGAAGAGTGTCTCATGAGCTGTGTGCGATCCACCCTACAAAAAGGTTTTATCAAGAAGAGTATGAAATGATATTTTTGCGGAGAGGAATTGGGCCATCAAATTTTGCCCCCGTAATATGCAACTTGACTTCCTGACCAATCAGTGTCGTTAAAATTCCTACCAGCTTTTAGCAGGAGCAAATGAGGCAGGCTTTGGTAGAGCCCATGGCACATGTCCAGACCCAAGTGAAGCTTAACACTGAAAGACCAATCAACATAATTCGCAGTGTATTCATGGGTTGCTGTGTTCTATAGAGGAGTATGATACAGTATGATTATTGTTCGAATTTGTTGCTGGAAATCAGTTACATATGCAGCATGAATTCTGTCTTCGAAAGTGTGTTTGCCTTGTGTTAGCCTGCGACATGTTCATTTCCCCAAACAAAACACTCAGTTTTCTGACAGGAGCCAAGCTTCATACCTCGTATAGTCAAATGATCACTGAATCACCATATATATATAAATATATATATATATGTGTGTGTGTGTCATCCCTCAATCATTTTGAAATCAACCTACAGTCGTAAAACCCCCGTATATGTCATAACTTCCCCACAAACGGTCCTGATGACAATAGCAATGGCAATGACAGCAACGTGCTAATCTAATAACTAATAGCACTAATGCTCAATGATACTGACAATATTTCTAGTACATAGTAGTACTGCACCCATATTTTTTAATCATATTTATAACAGCAAACGAGAGAATAACGTACTCTCCAGCAGACTAACATATATAATTAAATGATTTAGATGATTTACATCCAAAAAATGTGATTTTCCATAGCTATGTTGAATTACCCGAGGGATTCCAAAAAAACTATGCTTTCACTTCACACATCCCAGGCAGCCATGGCCTTACGACGTCCTCGGGTGTCTCGGCGGATCAGATGCACGGGCTGATGGACCTGCTGGGTGTGGCACAAGAAGAAGAACAAGACGAGCGGAGTAAGCCGCCCTCGCAGCTCGGAAATGGCGGAGCTGTCGGAGAATGTGGGGAATGGAAGGGGAAAAGAATGCCACCAGCCATGACAGTGAAATACTGTGAATGGTAACAAAAATGGCAACCATAGGGTAACCATAGCACCTTAAAAAATGCTGATATGGATGGTGATATGGATGGTGATATGGATGAGTTCCCCTGGACCAAACATGACCCCTACAGAAAGATGTGGGAAAGCCATGGAAAGTCTGTAAGAAAAATCAGAAAATGATCTACAAATGGGAAAACTCCATATCGAACTGTTAGTTTACTGGATGAGTTATTTTCCTGAACATTGACATAGAGCCCGGAAATAGCCAAATTTTAGTGGAAACTCGTCTTCATCCTCAACTATAAACCATAAAAGGCGTCTATTATACATCGTACGGATCAGGAGTGTGCACAAGAACAAGCCGGAACCTTGGGATGATTTACTAGTGTGGATCCCACACCAATGTGGCAAACCCAATGCCGAATGTGTGTTGGCCTTTTCTTGGCCCCGTTTTTTTTGCGCTCCCCAACAATTGGTAAGATTATGAATATTGTGGGTTGATGAGTGCATCGTTTACTGTCGATGGTATAATACGAATACCAATGAATTAGCACATGGAATTGGTTTTAATTGATATTTCCAACAGAATTCCCAAGACCCGAGTTGGATCATGCCAGGAATTCTCACTATTTGGGGTGCCCCGATAAATACATATATAATCACATATATACATATTGCATATGTATTTACATGTGCACGCATAATAAAGTAATCCATGATGGAAATCCAGGTTTATAAAGGCTCAAACCCATTCAAGGTAGCAATGGGCCCACGACATGGTTGGTATTTCGTGCAATTCATCATCATGGGATGACAAAGGTAGATATGTCAGAGGGTCACCCGGATTTTTTTCACAACCACTCTGAAGCATTCTGGCATTCTGGTACATGATGCTGGATAGATGCAGATAGTCACATGGCAAACAGCTGATTTCTGAAGGGAGGTGTGCGCAATCCACCATGACAGTAGGCTTAGCACCGGCAAATGCCTGGGTGGTTGGTCAAATGGTGAATGGCAACGCGTAGATACAGACACAATGCGACAATGGATTGGCTTTGCGGGTGCCAAACATCACATGAGCAGACCCAGCAGTTCCCACAGGTTTTGAACCACTTACATATATTTACATATTGTTTATATGTTAAAAAGATTCAAAAATCATCAAACATCATAAAGAACCCACAATTCAAGAAGCAGCTAAACACTTCAAAATTGTTTCCTTTTGCACTCTTCAGTAGCCCAAAAGATCTCAACCCTGGGCCCTGCGGTATCCTGCGGTTGTTAAGGCTCCATCCAGCGGCCATGCTGGGAGGAAAAGCCAGCCAAGCTGCACCAAACATGAAGGTTGCAGTCAGACAGCCCAAGAAGAAGGACTCAGCTGATGTGATATGAAAATGATGGTACTATGGTTGGTTAATTTATGGTTAATCCCATCCCCCTAATATTAAACATGGTAATGGTACTATTATTACCCATAGATTAACCATAGATGGGGATTCTACCAGCTGTGTGCTTGAGAATAGGGAAAAAGATGATCATCCAGTGGAAGGGGGTACTGTACCCTCATCGCACCTCAGTCTATTCCACAGGGCTACGAAAATTTGGGTCCCACGTGAGTTACGTCGGTTGGATCGGTTGAAGGCAGATGTTCTTCTGCGAATCTGTATGGCATGGTTTTCACCGGTACCTCTTAGAGTTTCCGGTCCATCGCAACCGCGGTGCAGGACGTCCAAGCCATTTGGCAACCCGATGAGTTCAAGGCCGCTAGTGGTGTGGTGGTCAAGAGCGATGGAGACGATCGGGCCATTCCGCCACTGGGGCTCAATCCTGGGAGGGCCGGGTGTGTCACCAGCGACATGAGGCCATGATGGATTATTTGTTGCACCAAAAATGTTTCGATGTGTTTTCAACCCACCTATATGTGGGATACACTATACACATGGATACACCTCAGTGATAAATTGGATATGAATCGCTTAGTGGATGTGTCGATGGGTTTGGGTTGCCAACAGGTACCTGGCTACCCTTCTCTCAATGGATGCACCAAAATCAAGTTACATATGCAAAACTGACATAAATCGTGCAGAATCCCCGGCAAAATGTTGGAAGGAAAAGCATGGTTTGGGGATGTTTCTCTTGCAGGGATCTAAAAACGCGTTGGGGTAAAAAAAAACGTAAACATGCGTGTTTGCTAAACAGCACTGTGCTCCTCTCCTAGGTGTACCCAGCAATGAGTACTGTACAATATGCTAGCCAGAATATATTGTAGGGAATGCATTGCTCGTTGTTGATCTGTGAAGACTCACTATCTTGGGTCCTGGATAAGTCATTAACACCTTCCCCCCAATATTGAATACTCCCTTAGAAACCAGGCTTTAGTAATTATTGGATCTGTTTATTTTTGGAAGCAACGGTTAAAGTCACCCCCAACAAGATACACGCATAATTATTCACTGTTCTAGTAGGGTACCACTCCTATCTTTTTGGGCGTTGCTAGTTGCCAGAGGGGAAAGGGAATATCTTTATGCATCTGGGCAACTGAAGTGGCGACTCCTCTCGAGGAAATATGAAATTCTGCCGCGCCAAAAGCTGGCAGCGTCGGACGCATATCTAAATTTGCCTCTCGTCCGGGGATTTTCAGCTTGGCTCATGGAGCTGTATGGGTTGGTCTAAAAATAGGCTAGATCCATCTAGATCCCCAAATGACAGTTTAATATAGCGATAATGATGATTAACCGATGGACTTCGCGGTAATTATCCCCATTTTTCAGACAATCGATTCGTTTGCCTGCTTATGTTTGGAGGTCCTCCGAACCGTGTTTTGTTGGGAGTTTCCCAATTTATGGCAATCCCCAGATAGAAAAGTGATTTATCACTATTTAAATAAAAGTTTAGTAGGATTTTAGTGTTCTATCCTTTTTTGGGATTGCTATATTTGAATGTGTTTGGTTTTCAGGACGCCTATGAATCTGGTCGATTTCTGCAAAGTCCCCCTGATCCTGCAGGGTTTTGTAAGGCAAGAGATGGATCCTTCCAGTGACCGATGTCAAGAGTTGCTGATCAAGATTTGGTTGCCAGGCAGGGTTCGAACTCAGCCAGCGTAAATTGCCATGTGAATCATGTGTCTGGGTACCCTAGCGGGTAAACATGTGGAAAACCACCATTGCTAGCTCCGAACCGGACACCATACGTTTTCCACCTCTATGCAGATTGAAGCCCGGAAATAATTATCGCAGTGATGTATGCACATGAGGTTACACAAGCATAGACGTTGTTTTCATGTTGTGAGTTGGCCCTGCAACACCAGGGGAGCAGCTGAGAGATATTTCTCTGGATGTCTTGGAAGATCGGTTGTTGCTACAAGCCACCAAGCACCAACTAAATGTTGCCCTGCCACATCGGGCCCCTTGGCGGGGCGGTTGGGAGGCGGTTGGGAGTGAGGAAGTCAGGGAATGCTAGATACGGAGATATTGATGCATATGTGTATATATATATATATAAGTATGTGCATACATATTTATTCATAATACACATATATATATGTGATTTATATACATGTGGGATAGAATTATAACGAATTATATATATATACATACATACAATATATATCTATATGTAAAAAAAACATAAAGATGGATGAATAGAATTGGATAGATACACATTTAACTCTGGTACCTTAACATTGCTCCACAGATATTCTGTGTTTGTCATGGTATCAGCATGGCTTAGGTCAGGAAGGATTCAGGCAATGCCAAGTGGGACAAGTTGCAAGGCGTTCTCTCAGTGGTCGTTCCCCTGGATCAGAAGGCTACGCAGGGAGTATGTGAGCAACCGAGATCATGGATTCTTAGTTAAGGAGCATTTAACACCTGGTTTTATGAAGTCGGGAGTTCATGTTTTTTTTGGTGGGGAGGGAGATGTTTTCTGAACCGCCCGCTCTTATTCTCAACAGATATCAAGAAAAGTGTTACGCATCCGGGTCGACATTGGAACATGTGCGATGACATTACAATGACTATAACATACAAAAAACCTGCATTTGTCTCAAAAATTGCTACATCGGCCATGATATGGGTATAGGAGATATCAGTTTATGTGCAGTGTCATTGTCATTGAGTTCCCAAATGTGCCATTGGTTCACCGATGAACTCTATGTCGAGCAACTGAGATGATGTAAGGGGCCATTTTTGTACCATAACCCATAGGATCCATGGTATATATGCTAACATGACTGGGGTATATTGATGGGATCCATGTTACCATATATATAGCATACATGGATCCTATGGGCATAATCATTGTTCATGAGTGGGAATAACCACCCACGGACTCTAGTGAGTTAACGGCAGGTGAAATACTTCTCAAAGCCCGATGAGCTTTTCACGGACTGAGCTGTGTGGCCTGTCCCAGAACAGCCCATTCGGCAATGCTTTCAAAGTTCTGGCCAAAGCTTTGTACGGTGCGGACTTCCTTCATATAGGACAAAGTGGATCACAATTGGCTGTCTCCGAACAGAAACCTGTTGCACATCCTCTGAAAACATCAAGTTTGTACGCGAAGCAGCTGGGAAAAACAAGATTTGAAGTGCCCCGATGCAAGCCACATGCTAAAAAAAATCTAACTAAGGTAAAAACAGAGCTTTGGGGCGGAGGCTTCAGTAGCTAGGTCACTCCAATGGCCCCAGTTCTCCAAAACATGGGAGAAACATTGGGAAGGAGTTTAGAGGTGCTTCAACAGCTCTAGCAAATGTCTCAGGGTTTCACCTCGAATTCGATAAAGTGCAGTGGCAGCCCAATTGTTGCCGACCAAAAACGCCGAGACACCTGCAATGAAAAAACTGCTGGGGAGAGAAGGGGTGCTGGAATGAGACGCTCGGAAGAGCCTGGAATGGCAGAGCCGATGTATAAGCAGCATAATCTATCAACATATATCAACATAACCATATATTGATAGTGTTGGATGCCCAACGATAAAACGTTCCCACGATGCCAACTTTCTCTCCAAATGTTTGCACTGTAACTGATCCTGAAGGCCCGCTGGCCAAGGTTAACCATGTTCAAGGACGAGGATCGCACACTGCGGCAGGCCGATAGCCCAGAGGGCATTGCCTGGCCTGCAGAAAGATGACATCCCAAAATGAATATGTTCGCCTTTATATTTGGATAGTGGGTAGGGAACCTGGAACCACTGGAACCCACGATTTTATTGGTTGTTTTTCCTTACCATCCAGTGAATATCACATGTATGGCGAAGCAACATTCTGCCGTTTTCCTGCAGATCCAGGATTATTGAGCTTCAAACTTCAAACCCCCACTTGTTTGGCATTGATTTGCAGGGGTTGATCAATGTCCTGTGTTGGGGATGTTGAGCATCACTTTCAAGTGTTCCATGGAGAATTTATCCACATGTTTTCGAGTAGGACGTTGACCAACCCCTGGAACCTCCTCATTATATCCCATACATCCTATTAAATCCCGACTTATGATAGTAATTATTAACCTTAATCCCGTGAACCATTTTACTCAATGATATTTATATTTAAATATTAGTATATTCCCCACTAAAATCCACTAAACCTTCTGAATCCCCCTGGGTTAAATTGGGTAAATACCCCATCCAAAGGGACGTTGTCAGGTGGGCCTCGGAGATCTGGAGACCGTCTTCGTAGGCACCAACGGAACCTCCAATCTGACCTGAGAAAGGGGGGAACTATATGTATTGTTTATAGATAATTGTAGAAATTTAATGCAACTTTTTTTCAAATGTTGATGGTATTTATATGGATTTATCGTTGATTTTAGTTGATTTATTCAGATCTAGATTCACGCATGTTCTTACTAAAATATCGTTGTCGTTCAATTATCAGATGTCCGCGCTATCCTTTAACTGTCTACCTGCGATCTCATGCAGAGGATGAATTCAGCCTTGATGGGGACATCAATGCAAGATCAAACATGACGTATGCATAAATTGGTCTTACTAGAAAGCTTGGTTTGTGAAAGTATTTGTTCGTGTTGGCATGAGCTTGCTCCCAACAGTGCGCAACAGATGGATTTGTGAACGTTGGAATGGGGAAGAGTGATGATCAACCATCAGATTTGGGCTGTTGTACGGGGGAAGATCGATTGCCTATAGTGAAAAGCTCAGCCCACAGGACATGGAGCCCCCTGCGATCCCAACGAGAAAATCCTCAAGGTGGGCGGATGGGTGAAGTCTAGGCAAAATGGGGAAAATAGTATATAGTTGAAGGGGCCAAAGACTCGTCGAAGAAAGGGTAAATTTCTATGAATTTGTTGCGTTTGAGGTGTTCAGTGGATGGATTGTAGCCATATAACTTGGATATCGAGCTCACAAAGAGTCACTGGAAGTCAGATATCTTCCATAGGTGTGTGGCCAGCCAGAAGGCCCAAAAAAAGCACCGATACTCTCGCGCAGTCCTTATCATAGAATATCAGATATATACTAGTAGATAGATAAAGAATGATAAAGAATGATAAAGACACTTAAAACACGACTGAACAATCTGAGTGTGTTTTTTATTTGTCTCCAAGGTATCCAAGGTAGAAACCAAGACATGGACATTAAAAGTCTCACACCTCCTGGTCCCTGGGGTTGACGCTGGAAGGTGCTGCGCTACAGCTATGACAATGGCAACCACAAGGTGCGGCGACGCGCGGGCATGGGTCGGTCCTGAACCACCAACCAACAATGTGAGACATATTCATGGGTAGGTAGATTAGATTAGGCTTAGGCTAGAGTAGTTTTGTATAGATGGATGGATGGATGGATGGATAGATAGATAGATAGTTTGTCACCGTGTACTTAGATCATCGTGGTTTCAACGAAAGTGGAACAATGTTCTTGAGCGGCCTGGCGCCATTTGTGCAGCGCTGCAGGTGTCAGATGGTTTTAACTTTCCTGCTCCAGGGGAAATGTCAGTGAGGACAGGGCAGTGAAGTGTGGTCAGAATTCTGAAGAATGTGGTAACTGTAAGAATGAAACACCAATTTGGGGATGGCTTGGTTTCAATTTCTGGTATGTTCTGGTAAAATTGGTGGTTATTTATTGTTGGGTTTAGCTCATTTCTCCCCAGAAAGAAAAAGTCATACAAACCCTTTGTTACCCTCTTCATTTGATAGGATCTTTGCAAAATGCAGTGCAATATCTAGAACTAACGAAACATATAGAAATCTAAAACCCACTAAATTCCACCATAGAAATCTAAAGCCCACTAAATTCCACAGAATATGTCTATCATTTTCCTCGTGCCCCTGCTTTGTTCCAGTCTGAAGATCTCAACACCCCAACAAGGGATTTCCATCACTTCCCTGCTGTCCACTCTTCCCAATCTGGACCCTCCTGTTGATTCAACATGATTCAGCAAACTCTTGCATTGTTGATGGACCACCCCCCGAACATCTCTTCCATCAGATGGATACATAGTCTGTAGCCTGTAGCACAATGCTGGGATGGGTTGCGGCTTGCTTTCTCAACCGGATAGTTCGAGAACAGCGGTGCTGTTTTTTTTTTTGGTGGTTGAACTCAGATTCGATAGCTGATTCACAACCAAGAGGTTGTATCAAAATAGTTGGTTTCAACCATTTCCCATTCCCAATGGGAGGATGATCCCAGCTGACGATTTTTCCATCAGCGCGGCTCAAGTGGTGGACCCTAGGAGCTTTAAGGAAGCCTTGATCAAGGCCTGTCTTCACTGGAAGTTCCCCGACGAGGCTGGATGGCCAATTCGGTGCCCCCTAGAAGTTGGTTACCTCGTGAACTAAACCAACTTCACTATATAGTCTTAACTATGGGATACTATGGGGGATGATGGAGAATGGAAAACCAAATTGTAGATATCATATACAACTTGGATCATGGTAGATTTTTCGGGTTGCCTCGGATCATCGACCTTGGAAGGTGACATGGAAGCGATTGAGACTACGAGCAGTGGAACCCAGATGGCTCCGGCATGGCTCCAGCTCTGGGACAGGAACAGCCTATCTTCAAGATCAGTGAAAGGCGTAAATGTACAAAGTATAGGCAGTATATACTACAAAGTATAGGTGTCGGATTTTGTTTTATCCTTTTTACCTCAAGCCCTTATATAGGCATTCGCCATGAAAATCATTCTGGAAGTAGGTGCCAGGTCAGAGCACTATGCAGGCCCTTCCTCTGCAGCTGGCTCAAGCTCTTGGTGGAACACCCGTCCTGTGCAGGTGGGAGATCAGAAAATATAGTTAGACCGGTTCCACTTCTACGATAATTATGGTTGCTTTAGGCAACCGGTTGACTCGGCGGCCTTGTATTGTTGGATGATGTTTTATGGGTAGGGCGCTGATAGACCTACTGATTTGAGATCTCTTCCAAGTGGAGTACTTCGCGGTGAATTTTTCAGGTGTTCGGAGGCTGACCTACTCATGCAACCGCACATTCAACTGCTCCTTCTGAACAGAAGAGGTTCTAGGAGATTCCTGCGATTGGTCATAAGATGTTCATATTATCGACGCCCAGTTGCATGGTGCTTTGGATACCCTTGACTTCTCCCAAATTGCGAACATCATGAGGTTTGTTTCACTGCAAGACTTGGCTCATGGAATCTGGAAGCGATTGAAATGACCGCCCTACTCTATACGTTTGCATGTATATGTATAATATATAATATATATATATATATTCATTCATTTATTTTCAAGGTCAAAACCTGCTTTGCCTCGAAAACTCATGCACTTACCCACTGGTTATTCAACATAGCTATGGAAAATCACCATGTTTAATGGGAAAACTCACTATAAATGGCCATTTTCAATAGCTATGTTAGTTTACCAGAGGGTAAATTACCTGGAGGGCAATTTCCT